CTGCACATATCTTACTTTGAAGTAAAAAATCAAAACGGGAACAAATACAATATTTGTATTTGCATGTGGCCCGCGGGCCGTAATTTGAGGACCCCTGGGATAGAGCGTTGGCCTGCGGACTGAAAGGTCCCAGGTTCGATTCTAGTCAAGAGCATGTACCTTGGTTGCGGGCACATCCCCAGTAGCGGGTGTGCAGGAGGCAGCTGATCGATGTTTCTCTCTCATCAATGTTTCTAACTCTCTATCCCTCTCTCTTCCTCTCTGTAAAAAATCAATAAAAATATTTTAAAAAATTTTCCTTCTTTTTCCTGGGCTAATCTTCTTCTAAACATCTTCCCGCCAGCCGTTCCATTGCACCCATTGCCTCTTTTCTTCGCTTTCTCTAGTGTCTACCTAAGGGTCCCTTGCTGCCCCTGATTACTGCTCGTCCCTAAGGAAAGAGACAAGAGTCAGACAGACTGAAATCAGGCCTGTTGTCCCAGAAGGCTCTATTGCCAAGTTTTCTTACAGGCTCTGCTCTGAAAACGAGTTTCTGGTCTATTAGGGCATTTTTTGGTTGCAAGAGACAGCAACCCAGCTCAAATGGAAGACACAATGCCCTGCGCCTCCCCTGGGTGAGCCCCAAGGGCAGGACTCTCAGGAAGGCCTGCAGCTGCCTCCTGCTCTGCCAGGCTGGCTGCCCTTGCAGGCCTGCTCTCCGTCTGCCACACAGCAACACCCCATTCCCTCAGGTGCCAGCAAGCGAGGTGCGAGGGTTTCTAACGGGCCATCAGGGCCTCGGTCACAGTCACGGCTGGTGCTGCCAGGTGGGCGGGAGGAGGGCGACTCCCTAGCAACAGGTCCTTCAGAGTGACCTTGGCCCTGCCCACAAACTCCAGCCCGGACCCAACCCTTGCTAGTCGGCGAGTAAGTCCATGTAAGTCCACGGGAGCCGCGGCCCAGGCCACAGAGACCCTCGTCTCGGCCAACGGTCGGCAGCTCCACAGCAAGTTGGGGTTTCCCATCTTCCCCCCATTTCCCCAGTGGGGTCTTACAGAAATGCAGGCGGAGCACCCGCCTTCCTCTGGCAGCGCACCTCCCCCAGGCACCATGCCCCGTTCTCCACGCCCACCAGGCCACAAGCCCCTTCTGTCAAGTCCACGTTCCACTGGTACCCCTAAAAGTCCTCTTTGTTCAACGCAAACTCAGTCCCCTCAAGGCTCAGGCTTTCACTCCTCCCAGTTGGCTGACATCCTCCTCTGACTTAAATCTTGTTCCCTATTTTTCATTCTTGTTGTTCATTTCGGTGAATAAACAAGTGTTGACTCAGCCATAGCTTCCAGAAGGCCCGGGTGCCTCTCTCACTGCTGTTTTCCCAAGTTTCCCCATGTGAACAATGAGTGCTCTGAGTCCCACGTCTGCAGGCTGGGCTCTGAGCAGCAGGCACAATGCCCCATTCTGCCAGGCAGGGCGGCTGGCATCTCCGGTCCCCTGCTCCACAGGATGACCACCCTAACCGCTACAGCTGTGGCCCAGCCCATCACATCAGCTTCCAGACCTTCCCGGGCCGCCCCACGGAGGAAGGACGCGTGTGTGGAACCACATCATCGGGCAGAACGTGAATCTGACGGTGGCGGCGTTGTCTCTGAAGCACTCGGAAAGCTGCCACCTCAGGGATGGAGCTGGCTGCTGCCTGGCGCCTAAGGTCACAGGACAGGCAGTCAGGACCCCCCCCCCCCAACCACTGGGCCGTGGCCAAGCCCCCACTGTCCCTGCCTTCCTGAACTTCCCTTGCCAACTAAACGGCACCAGGGGTCCCGGTGGGACCAAGAACAAAATATGCGAGTTGTCAGAACAGAGAAGCTGGTCACGAGCAGGGAGAGCCGCCCTCCAGCAGCACAGCGCTGCCCACTGGGCTCGGAGACACGAGAGCAGCGGTGGCAGGCTCCACGACAGAGGGGCAGCACTCTCAGCCTGCAAGGCTGTGCCAACACACACCCCTGCCACCCCTTCCAGTGCCTGGAGGGTCAGAGGTCTCCGTGCTGCTACGCCCGCCCCACCTTACATGGCAAACCGGGGGCTTCGGCAGGGGCGCTGGGGGCAGCTCGGTGATCTCAGACCCAGGACAGAGGACCTGGTCCCAGGGGAAGGAGAGCCAGCAGCACCTTGCGACAGAAGATGTTCTTATTACTGAAACCTCACTGTGATGGTTTAACATCTGAAACTAGGGTAATGCCTCTGCTTACAACTGCATTCCCAGTGCCTAAACTTTTGCTCAGTGAATCAACAAACACTAAATGAATCACTGGCTGATCTCCTAACAGAAGTCTCCTTTCGAATGAAAAAGGTTAAGAGAGGAAGGGGGACACACTCAGGCCACAGGGCACCCAGCAGGCCGGCCCTGCCCCAGGCCACCGCTGCTAAAAGGAGAAAATGGGGGTCTCAAGGAAAAGAAGCAAAGTCTTAAACAGTGAAACTGAAAACACAGAGAAGGCCGTGCCAGGCAGCCTGGCCCACCTTCCGGCCCAGGACACCCGGCCTCGGGACCTGAAGGGAGCAGAGCCTGTGCTTGGCAACAGGGGGACGGAACCTTCGCTTATGCACATTTCTCCCCCTGCTTTCAGTCTGCTTCCTGTAGTTTTATGCTCTGCTTTTGTCCTCTGCACTTAGTTTTAAAATTGTATTTTCAATAAAAGTGTTTTTTAAATATTTTTTGTTTTATTATTATTATTTTTTGTTGTTGTTGGTAATCTTCACCCGAGGATATTTTTCCATTGAATTTTTAGAGAGAGTGGAAGAGAGAGGGACAGACAGAGAGAACCATCAGTGTAAGAGAAACACATGGATTGGTTGCCTCCTGCATGAGCCCTGACCAGGGCACGGCCGGGAGGAGCCAGCAACCAAGGTACATGCCCTTGACCAGAATTAAACCCGGGACCCTTTGGTCCGCAGGCTGACGCTATATCCACTGAGCCACACCAGCTAGGACAATAAAATAGTTTTTAATTTCTATTCGTGGTCATTACAACTTTTCTCAAAAAGTCCTCAAGCCTACATTTCTCCAGTTCTCAGCTGTTTCCAGGTCACTTCTCACCTGTCTGTGCAGGTGGGGGGCAGCCCGCCAGGCTCCTGGGGGTCCCATTGGGGAGACAACGCCTGCTCCTTCCCTCCCCTCTCCTCTGCTCAGTATCTTGTATGAGTCTTTAAAACAGAACTCACATCACAGCCTCATGGGGTGGGTTTGCTGCCTATTTCCTGGGAAAGGAAGCTGAGGAGGGCCCTGCACTCTGTCCTGGCCAACGCCCCCAAATGCTCCATGCAGATGACCCCTCACTTGAAGGAGGCTTGTCACCTTGAAAGTCACCCCAGCCCAGGCCTCTCGGATGGACAACACAGCGGAGCAGCCCTGAGGGCTCCGAGCCCCCAGCCACAGCACTCAGCCTTCCCCCACCCACCCCAGAGCCATGGGCTGCCCCTTGGGGACCCGGGCCGTGGGTGGCCAGCCCCAGAACTAGGTGTCTGTGAAGAAATGGGGCTCGGCGCCCACTGAGGACCTCGCAGCCCCAACAGTCACTTGGCGGGAAATTCACTCGGCGTGACAACACCTGCCCTGCTCCCAAGAGCTGCAGGCACAGCACCTCTGTGGACTCTTCCCACCTGGGCTCCTGTGGCCCCCTGCCCCAGCCTCAGTCCTCGTCCCACATGTGAGCCGGGAGCGGTGCAGGGCCACGGCTTGGCCACACCAGCCTGTGCCAACACTGAGCTTCAGTGGATAGCAGGACGGCCAGCAGGCGACGAACACACCCAGAGCAGGGCAAGATGCCGGCACCTACACACCATGTTTGAGGGACCCCTAGTCACCATCCCCCCATTCCCATGGTGGGCAAGTTCCAGTCGTGAGTGGGTGAGAAGATCCTGGATGCCAACTTCCCACGCGGGCGCCGGAACAGAAGATGCTCTGTGCTGCTCGCGGGCCTGTGTGGAGGGAGACCCGCCCAGGAAGCGGCAATCTGCTCCTGGAACAGGGTGATGCCCCTCCCGCAGCCGGGGCCACTGTGCCCGCTCCTCAGTCCCGAGTGTGAGCACCCACCCCAGCCCTGTCCTGTCCTGTCCCCAGGGCAGCCCCATACCCTCCTACCCACAGGCTGGCAGGTCCGCCTGCAGACACTGAGTGGTGCTGACTGTGTGTGTGGACACGTGTGTATATATGAGCACATGAGAGCATGTGCCACCCTGTGTGGGCACATGTGTAGGCCTGACAGGGTCCGGAGTGGCCCTCCTCCCTGCTGCTCCTTACTCCCTCAGGCACATGCCCCACCACGTGGCCACCCTGCACCTGGCCTGGCCTCTGACCTCTCCAGGAGCTCCTTCCACACCCATGACCTGGAGGAGAGGGTGACTGGAGGGAAGGGAAGGGGCCAACGCATGACAGGGTATCCTGAGACTCCAGCCTCAGCCACAGAGCCCTCGGGTGGAGGTGAGCAACTGGAACAGTAAACAGCACCTGTCAGAGGCAGGGGCCACCTCCAGGAGGCCGGACCCTCTCATCGGGAGGTCTGGCACTCTGGAAGGCGGGGCTCCAGAACACAGCCCAGGGCCCGGGAGGTCCCGTCCCCCAGGTGAAAGGCCAGCAGACATTTCTCAAGTGCAGTTTGATGATTTCCATGAACATATACACCCACGCAGCCGAGCAGAGCCCACAGAAGAGGCAACTCATTGCTCGCTGGGGAGTGGGGCTTGGGTGGGAGTGGTGTGAGAAGCCACAGAAGGTCTGGTCTGAACTGAACCCAGGGAGGCTCCCTTTCAGGAAGAGGAGTGAAATGAAGTTGTTTTCAGATGCAGACTCAAGAGCAGACCCTGAGAGCACGGACGGCAGAGGGCCGGAGCCGGAGGACTGAAGCATGCTCAGTGTTTCACAGGCAGAGAGGGCCATTTTTGAGTCAAAACCACACAGGTAGGTCAATTTGATGGGCAGTTACAGAGCTGTTCTCACCTGAAAGGTTCATCTACACCAGAAGAAAGTAAAACAAAACCAACTTTTAATACAATAAAAGCAGGGCATAAAACATCAGGAAACAGTCCCAGGTGGGGAGGCTGGGTCTGCACAGGGCCCCGGGCACAGCAGGGCCTCGGGGGTTGGGGGGCTGCACCCTGTGTCCGCCGTGGGTCTGAGGGGAGCCACTGCTGCCTCGGGGGGAGTGGGGAGGAGGGCTCCTGGTTACTTGCTGGAGTTTCCAGAAAACTGTTGATGAATCTGAGAAACATTTCACCGGAAGGGCCGAGCGCGGCCAGACGACGGGAGGACCAGAGCAGCAGTGGGAGCCCTCAGCACCTACTGGCGATAAATACCTGGGAGCAAACGTGCCCATTTCTGTCACAATAATGACGAGAAAGCTTTGACCAGCCTCTAAGAAAGAACAAACAAACAATATGAGAGTTTAAACTATTTTTTAAAAATGTTAAATCTGTTGATGAGTTGGGAGGATAGTTCAGAACCTCAGAGGGCAAACAGGAGGGGAAACCAGGAGTCGGCATGAGGCCTGGCCAGCAGCAGCCTGGGAGGGTCCGTGCGGCCTGAGCGCAGTAGCGAGGACAGAGCCTGGGACGGGCCAGAGCCCAGCTGCAGGCCCCAGGGAGAACCAGGCAGGAGTGGCACACAGGGGTCAGGCCTGGGGCAGGACGGAGGTCACCACAATCAGTGTCCTAAGGTCTCTGAATTGTTTTGAGAAAAGTAAAAATAACAGTTGAGTTTAGATTCTGATACATGAATTCTGCGTGTTAAAACATGTGGGGTGGCGGCCCCTATGGAAGCCGAGGAATGAATCCCAATCTAGCAGAGGAGAAAAAAGAGAGAAGAAAAGAGAAACAATCCAAAACAAGGAGAAAAGTAAAAATAACAGTTGAGTTTAGATTCTGATACATGAATTCTGCGTGTTAAAACATGTGGGGTGGCGGCCCCTATGGAAGCCGAGGAATGAATCCCAATCTAGCAGAGGAGAAAAAAAGAGAGAAGAAAAGAGAAACAATCCAAAACAAGTTAAGAAAGGAGGAAAAAAGCAACCTGTCCCAAATGACAGGACAGGCAGAATACAGAGACGGCAGAAATAAACTCAGAGAGAAGAACCTTACGAAACGAAAAGGAGACAAACACTGTCAGACAAGATGTTTAAAGCCCCCGACACGTGCTTTATACCCAACACATTGAAAACAAAAGGATGTGGGTTCTGAACGTCAGGAAGGCACAAGCTACCCCAACGACAAAGCTGGTGCAGCTCCAGGAATGCGGCTGCTCAAACAGGCCACCCAGCCGAGGAGGCGAGCGCGGGCAGAACCTCTAGGGCAGGAGAGGGGCTCGGCTCGCCAGGCTTCCTCTTGGGGGCACGCAGGGCTCAGATCCTTGCCCACCATCCATGGAACATTCCTAAAAACTGACCACATACCAGGGCCTAACGTGAGTTCTCAACAACAGTCCAAGGATGGGCTGGCCAGCCCCAGTCCTTGTCCATGCGCACGCGCACACGCACACGCTGGCAGACGAGCCACACACAGAGCCCACGCAAGGCAGGCCCGTTGGTCAGCTGCTGTCAATGCTCCAGCCTGCTGAGGGGAAAGGGAGGGGTGTGGGTGCCGGCTCCGGAAAGAAGCAGCAGCCTCGGGGACCAGGAGGCTGACAGACAACCACGCGTCACGAGCATGCGAGGCTGCAGCTGCCATCCCAGGGAGCCGAGGCCCCGCCGCGCACGCAGAGCTCCATGCAGTCTCCCCCGCACGGACCTGGTCTGCTGACCACAGCACTGCACTACGCGGTGGAGAGCAGGTCAGCCATGCGCATGTCCGGGTGGGTGTCTGCACTGATGTGCAGGGCATGACGACCTGTCGGGGGCTGGAGAATAAGCCACAAGAGACAGCCTTCTGTGTAACAGCATCACCCCATAAGTCACCACGCAGACAGTGGAGGGGCAGCATCTGGCTTGAACTAGAGCACGACCCCTTACCCTTCAAAGTACCCACAGAGACTCGCCTCTAACACCTACTGCACACAGTGTAATGCACGGCAAGAGCCGTACAAACACCTACTGTGTGCAGTGTAACCTGCAGCAAGAACCACCTCTAACACCTACTGTGTGCAGTGTAACCCGCGGCAAGAACCACCTCTAACACCTCTGTGTGCAGTGTAACCCGCGGCAAGAGCCGTACAAACACCTACTGTGTGCAGTGTAACGCCTGGCAAGAACCACCTCTAACACCTCTGTGTGCAGTGTAACCCGCGGCAAGAACCTCCTCTAACACCTACTGTGTGCCGTGTAACCCGCAGCAAGAACCCCCTCTAACACCTACTGTATGCAGTGTAACGCACCGCAAGAACCACCTCTAACACCTCTGTGTGCAGTGTAACCCGCGGCAAGAACCTCCTCTAACACCTACTGTGTGCCGTGTAACCCGCAGCAAGAACCCCCTCTAACACCTACTGTATGCAGTGTAACGCACCGCAAGAACCACCTCTAACACCTCTGTGTGCAGTGTAACCCGCGGCAAGAACCTCCTCTAACACCTACTGTGTGCCGTGTAACCCGCAGCAAGAACCCCCTCTAACACCTACTGTATGCAGTGTAACGCACCGCAAGAACCACCTCTAACACCTCTGTGTGCAGTGTAACCCGCGGCAAGAACCTCCTCTAACACCTACTGTGTGCCGTGTAACCCGCAGCAAGAACCCCCTCTAACACCTACTGTATGCAGTGTAACGCACCGCAAGAACCACCTCTAACACCTCTGTGTGCAGTGTAACCCGCGGCAAGAACCTCCTCTAACACCTACTGTGTGCCGTGTAACCCGCAGCAAGAACCCCCTCTAACACCTACTGTATGCAGTGTAACGCACCGCAAGAACCACCTCTAACACCTCTGTGTGCAGTGTAACCCGCGGCAAGAACCTCCTCTAACACCTACTGTGTGCCGTGTAACCCGCAGCAAGAACCCCCTCTAACACCTACTGTATGCAGTGTAACGCACCGCAAGAACCACCTCTAACACCTCTGTGTGCAGTGTAACCCGCGGCAAGAACCTCCTCTAACACCTACTGTGTGCCGTGTAACCCGCAGCAAGAACCCCCTCTAACACCTACTGTATGCAGTGTAACGCACCGCAAGAACCACCTCTAACACCTCTGTGTGCAGTGTAACCCGCGGCAAGAACCTCCTCTAACACCTACTGTGTGCCGTGTAACCCGCAGCAAGAACCCCCTCTAACACCTACTGTATGCAGTGTAACGCACCGCAAGAACCACCTCTAACACCTCTGTGTGCAGTGTAACCCGCGGCAAGAACCTCCTCTAACACCTACTGTGTGCCGTGTAACCCGCAGCAAGAACCCCCTCTAACACCTACTGTATGCAGTGTAACGCACCGCAAGAACCACCTCTAACACCTCTGTGTGCAGTGTAACCCGCGGCAAGAACCTCCTCTAACACCTACTGTGTGCCGTGTAACCCGCAGCAAGAACCCCCTCTAACACCTACTGTATGCAGTGTAACGCACCGCAAGAACCACCTCTAACACCTCTGTGTGCAGTGTAACCCGCGGCAAGAACCTCCTCTAACACCTACTGTGTGCCGTGTAACCCGCAGCAAGAACCCCCTCTAACACCTACTGTATGCAGTGTAACGCACCGCAAGAACCACCTCTAACACCTCTGTGTGCAGTGTAACCCGCGGCAAGAACCTCCTCTAACACCTACTGTGTGCCGTGTAACCCGCAGCAAGAACCCCCTCTAACACCTACTGTATGCAGTGTAACGCACCGCAAGAACCACCTCTAACACCTCTGTGTGCAGTGTAACCCGCGGCAAGAACCTCCTCTAACACCTACTGTGTGCCGTGTAACCCGCAGCAAGAACCCCCTCTAACACCTACTGTATGCAGTGTAACGCACCGCAAGAACCACCTCTAACACCTCTGTGTGCAGTGTAACCCGCGGCAAGAACCTCCTCTAACACCTACTGTGTGCCGTGTAACCCGCAGCAAGAACCCCCTCTAACACCTACTGTATGCAGTGTAACGCACCGCAAGAACCACCTCTAACACCTCTGTGTGCAGTGTAACCCGCGGCAAGAACCTCCTCTAACACCTACTGTGTGCCGTGTAACCCGCAGCAAGAACCCCCTCTAACACCTACTGTATGCAGTGTAACGCACCGCAAGAACCACCTCTAACACCTCTGTGTGCAGTGTAACCCGCGGCAAGAACCTCCTCTAACACCTACTGTGTGCCGTGTAACCCGCAGCAAGAACCCCCTCTAACACCTACTGTATGCAGTGTAACGCACCGCAAGAACCACCTCTAACACCTCTGTGTGCAGTGTAACCCGCGGCAAGAACCTCCTCTAACACCTACTGTGTGCCGTGTAACCCGCAGCAAGAACCCCCTCTAACACCTACTGTATGCAGTGTAACGCACCGCAAGAACCACCTCTAACACCTCTGTGTGCAGTGTAACCCGCGGCAAGAACCTCCTCTAACACCTACTGTGTGCCGTGTAACCCGCAGCAAGAACCCCCTCTAACACCTACTGTATGCAGTGTAACGCACCGCAAGAACCACCTCTAACACCTCTGTGTGCAGTGTAACCCGCGGCAAGAACCTCCTCTAACACCTACTGTGTGCCGTGTAACCCGCAGCAAGAACCCCCTCTAACACCTACTGTATGCAGTGTAACGCACCGCAAGAACCACCTCTAACACCTCTGTGTGCAGTGTAACCCGCGGCAAGAACCTCCTCTAACACCTACTGTGTGCCGTGTAACCCGCAGCAAGAACCCCCTCTAACACCTACTGTATGCAGTGTAACGCACCGCAAGAACCACCTCTAACACCTCTGTGTGCAGTGTAACCCGCGGCAAGAACCTCCTCTAACACCTACTGTGTGCCGTGTAACCCGCAGCAAGAACCCCCTCTAACACCTACTGTATGCAGTGTAACGCACCGCAAGAACCACCTCTAACACCTCTGTGTGCAGTGTAACCCGCGGCAAGAACCTCCTCTAACACCTACTGTGTGCCGTGTAACCCGCAGCAAGAACCCCCTCTAACACCTACTGTATGCAGTGTAACGCACCGCAAGAACCACCTCTAACACCTCTGTGTGCAGTGTAACCCGCGGCAAGAACCTCCTCTAACACCTACTGTGTGCCGTGTAACCCGCAGCAAGAACCCCCTCTAACACCTACTGTATGCAGTGTAACGCACCGCAAGAACCACCTCTAACACCTCTGTGTGCAGTGTAACCCGCGGCAAGAACCTCCTCTAACACCTACTGTGTGCCTGCCTCAGAGCCTGCGTGTCACCTGCTGCATGGGGGCAGCATCCTCCGTCCCCGTGGTGGCCCTCTCACTGCACCCCATGCGCAGCCCTTAGCAGGTGAGTCCTGCAGGCACACAGGTGACCACCCAGTGACAGGCATGAGGATGACTGGAGGACAGAGCACAGGGCAGTCCAAGGGCGGGGCCAGGCAGGGCTGGAGGGCCATGTGGAGGGGAGGCTGCCACAGGCACGCCTCTGCAGGCCCAGCAGCAAGTCGCCTTGGTGGCTCAGGAAGAGGTCCGAGCTTTGGATACAAGTTTAGAAGAAATCAGCATACAACAGAAACTCCACTTTCCCTAGTCCGTGTGTTTACAGGCAGGAGAGGGGACAGGCAGAGAGCCAGGCTGAGATGAACTAGCAGAGATGACTGAGGGGAGGAGAGGGCATGGGTGGCCTGGAGACAGGAGTGGGGGATGGGCTGAGCAGGTGGGAGGCAGGTACAGGACGGGGTGGTGGCCTGGGGACATTCCCGGAGCTGCTGCTCTGAAACGTGCAGCAGGTGTACACGGTGCCAGAACTGGTTCAGGGAGACACCACCACACGGGGCATGGGCAGGGGCACTGTGGTGGGTACGGGGCCTGATTTTAGCTGAAAACTCCACAACACTTTAAACAGAGGCGTGAGCTGCAGCTCTGACAGCCCACAGCCTGCTGGTGATGACAGTCAAGCCCCCCTCCCCGCCATGGACACGGCCTAGAAACTACACGGCCAAACTCTCGCCACGCTTGCTGGTAAACCCTCTTCCCACCAAGACTCTGAAAACCCCATTTGTGCGCCCGTCTATGTTGAATGCACCTAGAAAACCACTGGGCTAAACCATGATTGTCTTCCTACGCCCACAGACGAGCCCAGATGGCCATACTCATGGGCCTGGGCACTGAGGTGGCGGCCAGCACACAGGCAGTGAGCGGGGTGGGCTGGAGTGGACAGCAGGTTGCTGTGAGGCTGGACAAGGTGGTGGTGGTTCACAGTGCACAGGCTGCCAGGCAGCCATTGCAGGGGAGACCAAGAGCAGACAGAGGTGCCTGGTGCTGACTTCTGCACGTGGGGGTGCCACCTCCCCTTCTGCAACAGCCTTTTCCTGGCCCCCATTTCTCCTTTTACCCATTCAGTGTGCAATTTTATCTATTTAGCACATGCATGGACGCCTGGTGGCTGTGCAGGGACCACGGCCCGGCTCAGATGCCCTGGGAGGCAGGAGAACTGGGCTGAGAGGGGGAACAGGAAGGGCTCCTGTTAGGACAAGCCCCAGGAGGGTCAGAGGAGCTGAAGGGGCACCTGAGCTTTGCTTTTCTGGGGTGGGGAAGGAACAGGAGCAGGGCGTGGCTTGGTGCACTCGGCTGGAGAGCAGAGCACGGGGGCCAGGGAGGAGGGGTGCGGTCTCCAGGACGGGCTCGGGACCTGCTCCTGGGCCAGCACACAGGCCACGGGCCTCCTGTGCACCAGGCTGCTGAGCAGCACCTTGGCCTCATGCAGCTGACGTCAGTGGCACCTCTCCCAGTCGGGACAATGACAAATGTCTCAGACAAACCACCCCTGAGTGAGAACCACAGCTCTGCACACCCCCCTGCGCAGCGCTGTGGAAGACAGAGGGCAGGAAGCCCACCCAGGAGGCGTGGCCATCGTGCAGACGGGACCCGGTGCAGCCCCTGCTTGGCAGTGGCCCTGGTGACAGGGGAATGATAGGTTGGTAACTACTGGGAGGTACCAGGAGCAACCCCGGAGCAATGGGCTGTGGCCGTCCGGGGAAGCCCAGATGCCAAGCTTTCAGGTAGCCACCAAGCAGATGCCAGTCCCCAAGGTCCCCAAGCACCAGACACCAGAAGTGGAGAATGCAGGGTCTGAGGAGCCTGAAGGAGGCTGGCTCCAGTGCCCCAGGCTGAGCAGGGAGGGCTGGCTGGCACCTCCTCTCCCCCCAAACCCCTGAGATGGCTCAGAGCATGGAACAGGCTTGTTTTCTCTGGGTGCGGTGGGAGGAAGGGGTCCACAGTATCGTCTCCAACTATTTGCTCAGCCGTTCCCCACAGGAGGGTGCATATCCTCCGCAGTACCAGGGGACGCCTGCCTATTAACGGAGAGAGGGAAAGAGCGTGGGTTCCCTCCCCTGGTGGGCTGGGGCAGGTGACCGGCTTTGGCCCATGGAACCTGAGCTGTCAGCTGAAGCTTGAAGAGACACCGTTTCTGCCACTCTGCCATACGGATGCCATGATCCAAACAAGGGCTGGCCCCCCATGAATGGGCTCTCAGAGAAAAGCCACAAGCAAATGAAACGTGAGCAAGACGTAAACCTGCTGTTGTGAGCCACTGAAATGTTGGGTAATTTGTCACCTCAGCCTCCTGCTGAGAAAGCTGTCCAATTAACTCCCTGAACCAAATCTCTCCCTTCTCCAGCCCGTCCTGCTCACTCCTGTCAGGTAGATGTTCCTAATCCATTTTTTCAGGACTTGCCCTGCCCCCATTAGCTAGACGGCTACAATCTAAAGTCTTTCCCCTGAATTCAGACACTCACATTATAATCCTTATTTCCTTATTCCTTACACAACCTTCTAACCCCACAAACCACTCATAACCCAACTTCTTATCTTTGTTCCGACACCAGTTTCTGTTTCAACTAGTCAGTTCTGCCAAAGCACCCACAGACAATAAAAGTGAAGGCTTCAACAAAACTTCATTTATAAGACAGGCAGGGGAACTAACACCTACTGTACGCAGTGTAACGCGTGGCAAGAGCCACCTCTAACACCTACTGCACACAGTGTAATACAGACCTGGTCTGGAGAACGGTTTAAAGGGCTCATAGACGTAATAGGCTTTGCCCTTTTCAAACTTCTTCAAAGAACAGTGTGCCACAGTATACACACAACTAACTGAGCATAGATTAGATGTTCAGTTAGAAAGTACTGAATTAGCCCCTGCCAGTTTGGCTCAATGGATAGAGCGTCAGCCTGTGAACTGAAAGGTCCCAGGTTCGATTCTGGTCAAGGGCACATGCCCAGGTTATGGGCTCAATCCCCAGTGGGGGATGTGCAGGAGGCAGGTGATCCATGATTCTCTCTCATCGTGGATGTTTCTATCTCTCTCTCCCTCTTCCTTCCTCTCTGAGATCAATAAAATATTTATTATTTTTTTAAAAAAAGCCCTAACTGGTTTGGCTCAGTGGATGGGGCATCGGCCGGAGGCCTGAAAGGTCCCAGATTCGATTCCAGTCAAGGGCATGTACCTTGGTTGTGGTCACATCCCCAGTAGGGGGTGTGCAGGAGGCAGCTGATGGATGTTTCTCTCTCATCGATGTTTCTAACTCTCTATCCCTCCCCCTTCTTCTCTGTAAAAAATTAATAAAATATATTTTAACAACAAAAAAGAAAGTACTGAATTAATGATACTTAGGAAACATTATAGAATATTGAAAAACATCCCTAATACTCAGTAGTACAGTTTTCCCAGAGACTTCAAAAAAAAGTAGGAAAAATCCACACCAAATGTTAAGCCAAGAAAAATTCCACCTGATGGAGCATAATAATGACCAATAAGCTCTTTTCACAATACACAAACTGTGTCAACGACCAGTATAAGTTTCTGAGTTTAGTGGGGAAGCAACTCCTTTTATCAGAACTCTCAGACATATGAGGATAAACTCCATTTATGTCACCACCACGTTCTGGGGAACAAGATGGCAGGCACTGCTGAGAAACTCCAGTTCCAGGGAAATACAAAACCCTGCAAATGCCTGTCCCAGGAAGCCCAAGACGGGAGCCGGCAGAGCGGGAGTGAGCCAGGCAACAGGCCCCGATGAGGAGGTCCATCCCAGCAGATGGAACAGTGTGGCCAGAGGATGGGGGTCAGGGTCAGACAGGGCCTCAGGGAGTAGGCCAAAGCTGCCAGGTAGCGCCAGGGACAAGTCCCCAAGGCTGACGGAAGCCACAGAAAGCAGGTCCTGGAGGCAGCAGAGAGGGTGTGGATCTACCTCGGGGAGCAAGGAAGGTAAGAGAAGAAGGGACCTGGAAGCAGGCAGACACTCCAGCTCGGTTTTGCCAGAAGCGTCTCCCAGACCCAGCGAGCACAGGGCTGTGCTGGCATCCACATGCACCGAGCTAACTTGGGGAGGGAACGTGTTAAGACTCACAACAAATGACCAAATGACAACGGGTTGGTGGAAAGGCTCAGCAAAGGGGTCTTGTGAGCAAGCTGGATGCCTCCCTATCAGCACAGATTACACAGACATTTTTCAAGAGCACCAAGAACCTGAAAGAAGCCTAACCAGACACTGAGTCACTGTTATTAAAGTGTTCAAGGGCAGTCCCTGCCAGCACGTACACAAGAGAGAAGGTTGGGATGGACATTTTATTTTATTTATTTATTTAAAAAAATATATTTTATTGATTTTTCACAGAAAGGGATAGAGAGTTAGAAACATCGACGATAGAGAAACATCTATCAGCTGCCTCCTGCACCCCCCCCCAACTGGGGATGTGCCCGCAACCAAGGCACATGCCCTTGACTGGAATCGAACCTGGGACCTTTCAGTCCGCAGGCTGATGCTCTATCCACTGAGCCAAACCGGTTAGGGCAGGATGGACATTTTAAAATCTATCTTGAAATATTTTCAAATTTGCTCACAAAAGCTGTTTTGTTACCATTTGTTCTGAACATTAAATGTTCTCGTTATAAATCCCACAAATGCCAAAAGACTACCTAAAGGGGAAGGGCTCCCCCCTAGTCTCAGTATCACACCAATAAAGAAGGCAGATGGTGTGTCTAGGGTAAGTCTGAGGTACTTTCCCTCGATCTGAGAAAGGGAATCATCTCCTTAGGAAATTTTCCACTTTGTTCTGAAGCAAGTTAAGTCTAATTTCTTCCAACAGTTTAGCAACATAGGATGTTACAGCACTGGTATATCCAAGTTCTCACTGTCTATTGCTATGTCCTTACTGTTACTTGAAGTTTGTTAGAAAGTTATTTTTTCTATTTCAAGGATAACACTGTAAAGTATAACAACTATGGCTTGGGTAGCATAATTAAAACAGAAAATTACCCAAGAACTCTAAATCTAAATCTTATTTCTGTCGACAACAATCCTACCAAACCCCAAGGGCAGTAAGAATTGGAGTATTCAGGTGGCTCATCGGAAGTTTTCTTTTTCTAAAAATATTTTAAAAGCAGTTCTATATAAGTTATCTAAGTACAGGAGACTTGTTCCTTGTGTATCGTCATAAAGACTTGTTTCTTGCCAGGCGTGGCTCAGTGGTTGAGCATCCACCTATGAACCAGGAGGTCATGGTTTGATTCCCAGTCGGGGCACATGCCTGGGTTGCAGGCTTGATCCCCAGTGTGGGGCGTGCAGGAGGCAGCTAGTCAAAGATTCTTTCTCATCATTGGTGTTTCTCTCTCTCCCTCCCTCTCCTTCCCTCTCTGAAATCAATAAAAATATATTAAGGAAAAAAACACACTTGTTTCTCCACATATGGCCCGATCTTGCCTTTGTAAGAAAAGGGAGCCATTGACTTGATGTTAACATAAAAGGAGGAGGGTGAGGCTCCGAGACCACAGCAAACGCACCTGGAACCACATCTCGGCAGTGATGACATCCTAACTTTTGCGAACACTTACAATGTAACAAGCACCAAGCGTTTTACAGTTTTGATTCTATGAGTCCTCATCACCACCCTATGAGGCCACTGTGATTGGCGCTCCCATTTTACAGATGAGGGGCCAAAGGCACTGAGTACAAAGGCCGGCGTCTGACTCCAGCACCCGCCCTCTTCCCAGCCTCTCGGCCAGAGAGCTGACGAGACCAAGTGCGGGCTGGGAGGCCCGGGTCCTGCAGAGCGGCGTCTGGCTCACCTGGTCGCCGGGACGCTTTATGGAATGAGTCTCCTGGCTTTACAGTCGCACCTCCTATCAGATCTCCGGCCCCTTCCCCCGCGAGGAGAAGCACACCTCGCTCATTGTGAAGGGAGCGCCCCGATCGGGAACCACCTGCTGTTTGCAGAGGCACCCGGGACGCACAGGGTTCAATTCCCCGCGTTGGCTTCAAAGACAAACCCCCTATTGTCTGCCCCGGGGGAGGAACACGAGCCCTGCAACGGCAGGTTTCCGCAGAGGTCACGGGAGGTTTGGTGAAACCGCTCGGCGCGGAGGGATGGCGGGGGGAGGGGAAGGGGCGCCGCATTTTTGCTGGTGAAGGCAGCGCAGCGCCCACAGCAGCTGCTGGTGGGAGCAGCAGGCCACACGCCCACAGCTGCCGTGGCCTCGCACCGGCTGCGCGTTGCAGATAAAAGACGTCCTGACCCAAGTCCACGGCCTGCCTCGCTCGCGGCCTCGGCACAAAACGCCCCACCTCCGCCCACTCCTCTCCCACCACCG